TTTTCCCATGTTCCATTTTCTGTTTTGCTTCATGTTTCTGATACAAGGGTAAGGACGTGGTATAAGGAACAGTATAAATAGTAACGCAGATGGACAAGTGGGAGGAGTGATGGGGCTCTTTGGCCAACCCTCTCAGATGTCCAGGCCAGATCTTTTTACGGCTTATTTTTTACAATCTAGAAAAATCTCACTGAGGTTTTGGTAGGGCAGGTGGGTTAAGTTAGATTGCATTCATTTAAAGAACTGGGGAGGCTAGATTCTGCTTGGAAACGTGTGTCCTCTTATTCGCGAGAATGGGCCTAATGCCAGCAAAGAAGGAAAACCAACGATCTTCTGACCCTCAGGTTTCAAGTTTCTCCCCAGGGTCCTCCCATATGTAGTTCTGGGATTTTTTTTACCACCAAGTTGGAAAATGCTAGAAATGGCCATTTGTGAGACCAGCTGCAGCACGGAAACCCAGCTCTGTGCCGAGGCGTCTGTCCCCTGGGTTCAAAGAGGAATTCCAAACTGAAACAAAGAGTTCCTTCCTGGTAGCTGGATGTTTCCACCAATTAATCAAAACTGATGTATCCTGGGGTGCCTGGGTGGCTCGGCGGGTTAAGCAGCAACTTCAACTCAGGTCATAATCTCGTGGTCTGTGAGTTCCAGCCCCGTGTCAGGCTCTGTGCTGACAGCTCAGAGCCTGGAGCCTGCTTCAGATTCTGTGTCTCCCTCTCTCTCTGCCCCTCCCCTGCTTGCTCTCTTTCTGTCTCTCAAAAAATAATAAAAAATTATAAAAAACATCTGGAGCAGAGAAGGGGACCGGCTGTGCACCAGTGGGGCCCACGGCCTGTGGTTCTGGGTCCTCTGTGGCCGCAGAAAACCAGGACCACCGACTGTGTGACAACAGAGGCCCCGTGGAGCCTCCTGCCTGTTACCCTGACTCAATGCATATGGGCTACATCAATACTCAGGACACGAACATTGGGGCATGTGCTTCATTCACAGAGGGGCCAGGCTCACCAAACTTTGGGAGGGATCGATTTGCAAGTGTTGAGATGCTGGTCATCTGTCTGATGCCTGTGTGTGTGTGTGTGTGTGTGTGTGTGCGCAGACTGAGTGGCCGCAGGTGGCTGTGCATAATCACCTGGCATCTTCTCCCATCGCCTGACAGCCCACGGAGGAGAATGAGCCGTGCCTGCCGTCGTGGCTCGGAGCGTGGTAAGCCCTCATCAGAGACTGTGCGATTCTGACAAGACGGGAGAGTCCCTCAGGAGACAAAGGCCAGTGACAGTGGAACTTCCTTGGAAGGGGAGGGAGAAGTAAAGATTCTCGAGGGCGGGCAGCCTCCCTTTCCCTCTCCCGTGGGAGGGGCTGGTCATCTAAGACACCAGGGAACGGTGGCCTCCGATGATGCCCGAAGAGCCACGTGTCACCTGATGCCTCGGCACGCACAGTGTGCCGGGGTCTGGACACACAGACGACTCGGGTCTGTTGGAGTTCATACGGGCTCTGCCTGCTCAACCTTGGTACAACTGCCGCCTGTGGTCTCCAGGACCCGTGCGCTGAGTGGGGGCGGCCTGTGTGGGCGCCTGTGCTGTGCTCATCTGCGTGGCCCCAGGGGGGTGACTTTCACAGGAGACTGTGGTCGCAGCCCTCTTGCCGTGAATGGAGGGAGGCGGAAGAGCCATCAGGACCCCAGTCCTTTCTGGCAACTTCCAGTAACGCCAGAGAGAGCAGCTCAGTTGGGGCGGAGGGGGGAGGGGCGACCACGGCCCAACACGGAATAGGGACACGAAGCCGCTAGCCTGAACCGAGGCTTGGCATTCCGACAAAGTGCCAACCATCAACGTCACCGGGAAAAATTCACCATCGGACAGAAACAAAATATATTTATTAGAAATGTGACACAGTCGTACATCATACACTTCCAAATGTTAATAGTTAATACGTCTACGTTGGCACGTCACGTCCCGACAGTGCTGGGTGTGCTCTTTCTAGAAACGAGGCCACAGATGTATCCACTGTATTCAACTAATGTAGTTAAAATTAGTGATCGGCCGAGGATGGCGTAGACTTAGCCGCAGTCTAGCCTGGGTCGGAGGAGTGACACACCCAGGGCACTTGGGCAAACGGGATACTTAAAAGTACTTCTTAAAAAGGTAGCTGTGTCCTGTTCTTTACTGCGTGTCACTGGTGGTTCACCTCAAAATGGCACTCGAGCTTTGGGCCAGGAGGAGCCGCGGCCGGATTTGGCATATGGGTTTGTGTACGGGGGCCGAGTCCTCTCCTTCCACGGGCTTCCACGGGCTTCCGCGGGCCGGTGAAGTGCCTGCCCTCCCCCGAGAGATTCAGGGAACATCGGTTTCCGCGGGGGAAGAGAACACCGCAGATGAACGTTCGTCACCGCCGCATGGCTCACCGCTTAGGGAAACTCTCAACCAAAGCTACAACACAACAGCTGAATGAAGAACGAAAACCCAAGACTAACGTCATTTCTAAAGTGAGAAGGGACTAGGGTGGGAAGGGAAGTGGGAGTTCGCCTGGTTCCTCAGAATATGCTCGCCCTGGGGAGCAGGGGCGGGGGCACCACCATCAGGCAGCTAGAGTTCACGTCCACGAAAGATCTCCCAGTGAACGAACCCGTGGACTCGGCTTTAAGTCTTTGAAGAACTCCTCCACTCTGCTGGGGCAATTAAAAATGGGTCTAAAATCCCCATCCGGTGGCCCAGCACTGGGGCGGGGACAGCCTGCCCCGGTCTGAGGCTCTGCGAGTGCTGGAAGGCCCGGTCCCCCTCGAAGGACCCTGCGGGGCCAGACCTGCCCCCCAACCACCACCAGGCTTCCCCTTCTGGAAGCGTGCCCACTGGCAAAGAAAATGGTAGTCAAGGACCTTCTTTGAGTTATAAAAATAAATGGCACATGGCCTTTCTTTCATAGGACATTTCTTTCTTTTTCAGCTAAAGGGAGCAGGCTCCAGTGTTGGAGGAGAAGAAACGGCAACGTCACCCCTGCATAGACCTTGCTTCGCCCAGAGCTGAATCATCGGACTCATTTACTGTAATCACTGAAAACAGGGCCCAGTAATGCTAAACACCCCCTCCAGGTATCCCTAGACCTCTTCAGCCTCTCCCACACAAAACCCCGAAGTAATCCCAGATTAAACACAACAACCGAGAGCTCACCCTGATACTCAGGATACTAACCTTTCCCCACAGCAAGGGTGAACAAGGCAGAGGCTTGGAGGTCATAGAAATGCCTGTTATGTCAACAAAAGACAGATGCATGGAGCCACACAGGGAATCCCTTCCATTTGGATACGCTCCTCAGGAAGGAGTAAAGTAAATTTGCTCAGGCTGTGCCTCCATTTCCATTTGAAAACAAAAGAGCCACTGACAAGGCCATCCTCCCCAAACTGCTCCAGAGAGACCTCAGATGCCACTCACCGCCCTGCCCTGAGGAGCAAGAGGAAAGGCCTTCTCTCCTCTCCGTGGCTGTCAGGGGAACTCTGGAAACATACAGAAGACATCCCTGGTTCGACGGCTGGGGCAGGCCAGGAGGGTGCCTTTTGAACACGTTCCGCAGGAGATCCTGATCTAGGGCCACAGAGGAGGATGGGTAAGCAGGCAGGTGTGGCAGCCTGAGAGTGAGCGGCGGACCCCCTGCAGAGATTTACTGCAGAGTGACACTGGGAGGTCCCAGGGACTGACACAGGGATGGCCCTTGGGGGCAGTGGGGAGGAATCACTTGCATCAGCAGGTGGCAGGCACTGAGGTCACCTGACTACCCTGTGAGCCACGCCTTCACGTGCTACATGATGCACATTTGCGGGCCCCACCGACCTCCAGGGAGCTGCCAGGTCGGTCCTCAGCAGGTCTCCCTGCAAGATCTGGGGCGGGGGGGGGGGGGGGGGGGGGGGGGGGGGGGGGGGGGGAGTGCCCTCTGCAGCCACTAGGGGTGACGGCAGGACAGTAGACGGTTCACTTCTAAATGGAGCCATCCCTGCCCACCGCTCAGGGCTTGCTGTTGCCATGCAGATGTGAAGGGCCCGAGGAGATACCGAAGACCGAGTCTAGAGTTCAAATACTGTTTACGCCTGCCGTCCGCCCAGCACCTCTTCAGCCTGTTGGCGCAAACACACGAAGACCCGGGTGGGCGCAGGCCGCTTCGCACGCAGGGGGCTTCCTGTTAGGTTCGGCACCTGGGGCAAACGTGTGCGGGCGTGCACGGGCGTGTGGACTCGCGGGGCAAACACAGCAGGCGGGCAGGTGCTGACGGGTCCCTTCCAGCACGCGGGGGACTGCCTGGCCCGGGGCTTCGGAGCGTGACCGCGTCCCAGCACACGGACGGACACACACTTCTCTCCGCGAGCCACCCCACGGGCCACCGCAGCAAAGCGCCCACGGGCTGCTTTGTGTGCTGGCGCGTCTTGTCTTCCCCCCAAAGACTCCAGTAAGTGACAGCGAGATGTAAACTGCTCAGTCCGGTTCTAGGTGTTCAAACTGTTGTCTGGAAAGGAAGCGTTACGGCCCCCAAAAGGCAGGGCTGGGGCGTTTTTCCAAGCTGCTCCAGAGCCAAGTGTTTGTCCTTTTTGTGTTTTGATGAGCGTGTGGGTTTCGGAGGCCGTGGGTGGTGGCAGGGGCAAAGTTTTTCTAAAGTCCAAAGGAAGGAGTTTTAGTGAAAAGATGGTTGTTTGTCGTGAGGCTCCGCAGCCCACGGGTGAGGTCGTGGCGTGTGACCGGAGATGTCCTACTGGGTTCTCACAGAGTGAGCCTGGGCGTGGACCCTTAGGTCTAGAAGGAGGGAGGCCCGTGGGAGAGCAAGGCTTTCCAACTTACGTGCCAAATGCATCTAGATTAAAAGTAGGTGTGCCCTGGAACCCAGCTCCGTTCTTATTTGTGTGTGGGCCCCCCCGGATCGAGCGTTGAGGGTGGTGGACGGAGCAGGGCCTGTGCAAAGTGACCAGGTGCCCCCAGGACAGGCTGCGGGCGGTGGGCGGCTGCTCGAGGGCCCTTCCGGGTTTACGTCTCAAAGTACTTGTAGATCTGGGCCACGTACTGCATCACGCTTTGCCAGTCGGGCCGGTCCGTGTACAGCATCTCACTGAGCTCCTGCAGGAAAGAGGAGGAGGTCACGGGGGACACCACAGACCACCTTCCCACAAAGGGGCTCAGAGCCTGGTCCGGGCTGGTGCTGCCTGGAGACCCCCCCCACCTGCATGGACAGGAGGCGTGGGCAAGTTAAAAGAAAAGCGTTTTATTCCTAATCAGGAGATACTGTCCCTTTTAAAAAACATTAGACAGGACTTCCTCCCCCTTTTCATCTTAAGAGCATGACAGCATTTTAAAGAAAACTTTGCAGGGGCGCCTGGGTGGATCAGTTGGTTAAGCATCTGACTCTTGGCTCAGGTTGTGATCTCACAGTTTTGTGAGTTCGAGCCCCGCATCCGGCTCTGTGCTGACAGCACACAGCCTGCTTGGGATTCTCTCTCTCCCTCTCTCTCTCTCTGCCTCTCCCCTGCTTGTTCTCGCTCTCAAAATAAATAAATAAACTTAAATTAAAAAAAAAAAAAACTTTCTTGGGGCGCCTGGGTGGCTCAGTCGGTTAGGCGGCCGAATTTGGCTCAGGTCATGATCTCACAGTCTGAGTTTGAGCCCTGCGTCAGGCTCTGTGCAGACAGCTTGGAGCCTGGAGCCTGCTTTGGAATCTGTGTGTGTGTGTCTCTCTCTCTCTGCCCCTACCTGTTCATGCTCTGTCTCTCTCTGTCTCAGAAATAAACGTTAAAAAAAAAAAATTAAAAAAAAAAAAAAGCTTTGCAAAGAGAAAGTCACCCATAATTCCATTATCATAAAACAATTTCCACTTTCCTAAGTTATATTTGCAGGTACCCCTATGTTCTCCCACGCTTCCATCGAGTGGACATATCTTGTGCTCTGAGTTTTTTGACTTCATGCTTTCCATGCACAATCTCACGGGCTGCTGTGTCGCGACGCTGGCCGTCATGGGAGGGAGTGCACACAGCCCACGAAACTGCTGCCCCACAATCCACACGACATCTAATGCTCGCCGTGGGGCGTGCGCGCACTTCTTCACGTTACAGACTTTGCCGTAAGCACCTCCGTGGGCGGAGTTGTTGAATTCATGCCTTGAGATGAATTCCCATGAATGGGATGGCCACAAAAGCCTTGACCCAATTGAGAATGCAACCAGCGTCTTATCAGAATCAGGTGTCAGACCATTTAACGTTTTTGTCGTTGTTGTTTGTCCCCTTGTTTAGTAGGCTATCAGCAAGAGCAGAGGAGGCCACAAAGTGACAGACAGGATGGCTGGGCCAAATGTTCCTGAAATACATGCCACTAAAGGTATTAGAAAATTCACTTCGGGACTGAATTTGGATTCTTTTGTGGTCACAAGAGGGTAGTAGGCAAGGACTCTGATGGAAAGCCAGGAGTAGAGATGCCGTGGAAAATCAAGGTTGAACTTATTGAGCACATCTGTTCTTGAGCAGTGACAGAACTGAGGCCTGTCACCAGCCATTTATTTCCTGTTTCCACAACACCTAAATATACTTGACCATTTCTACTTCCTGGTTATGCTAAAAAATTATCAGCCTCTCTCTGGTCATGGGAAAGAAGTGAAAAGGCAGCGAGTGGAACATTATAGACAGATCTACTGAGAACAACTTAAAAACATAATTTTCACAGAATACAAGGATTAAAAGTCTCCTTCTACATAAACTACTGTGGGCGGGACTGTGCACACAGACCGATGCATGAAGAGCTAAGCTTCTCACAATAGCAGGGTTGTTTATATGGCAATAGTGAAAATAAACCATCAAGAATTGAGTGTGACTTGGGGTGCCTGGATGGCTCAGTCTGTTAAGCGTCCGACTCTTGATTTTGGCTCAGGTCATATGATCTCACAGTTCGTGGGATCAAGCCCTGTGTTGGGTTCCATGCTGACAGCGCAGAGCCTGCTTGGGATTCTCTCTCTCTCTCCCTCTCTCTCTGCTCCTGTCCCACTCGTGTTCTCTCTCTTTCAAAATAAATAAACTCTAAAAGTTAAAAAAAAAAAGAAAAATTGAGTGTGACATTTAGGAGGTAGGGGAGGTGCTCTGAGAAAGGAAGCCACACCTATGAACCAAGAGAGATGACAAGCCTCCCTCCCTGTGACGGCGAGGATGGGTCTTGTGTCTCAGAGAGGACACAGGAGTCGGACTGACGCTCGCAGCTTTACTCAGACTATCTCACATGCCTGAACCTAACAATAGTAACATTACTATATTTTGGCACATTGTCAACATTGCAGCTGAACACATCTGGAGAAATAATTATGGCACATTTCTGGGGATGGGCGAGTAAGCTGCCTGAACAGAAATCTGAGGACGTGTGACATGTATTTGAATCAGTAGCTGAAAACCTTTCAAAATGGAAAACACCAGGCTCGGATGGTTTCACTGGCTAATTCTGCCAGTTCTACACATTCCCTTCCAGGAAATAGAAGAGGAGGGAACACTTCTTCACTCGTTCTCTGGAGCCAGCGTTGCCCTAATACCAAATCAGACAAAGACTTTAACGAGAAAGCTATCGATTTTCTCACATGAACACAAACACAGATGTCCTTAACAAACATCAGCAAACTGAATCATGATCAGGTGGGGTTCATAGCAGGAATGCAAGGGAGGTTCAACATCCAAAAGTCAGCATTGTTATTATTGCCAGACTTAATAAGAAAAGTCATATGGTCACATCAGCAGATGCAGAAAAAACATTCACACATAAACCCTGGAGATATTTGTGGGTTTGGTTCGAGACCACCACAATAAAGCAAACATAGCTTAAACAAGTCAAATGAATTCTTTGAGTTGTCAGTGCAGATAAGTTATAGTTACACTACTGTAGTCTATTCCGTGTGCCATAGCATATGTCTAAAAAAACCCACAAGGTACGTTTGACCCTTGCACAATGAAAAAGCTTGAAATACTTTGAGAATTACCAAAATGTGACACAGAGACAGGAAGTGAGCAAAGGCTGTTGGAAAAATGGTGCCAACAGACTTGCTTGACGGAGGGTTGCCACAAACCTTCAATTTGCAAAAAATGCAGTATCTGTGAGGCTCAATAAAGGGAAGCACAAATGAGGTATGCCCGCACACAAAATTCAGCAACCGTTCATGATAAAAACACCCAAAAGACTAGAAAAGTAGGGGGCGCCTGGGTGGCGCAGTCAGTTAAGCGTCCGACTTCAGCCAGGTCACGATCTCGCGGTCCGTGAGTTCGAGCCCCGCGTCGGGCTCTGGGCTGATGGCTCGGAGCCTGGAGCCTGTTTCCGATTCTGTGTTTCCCCCTCTCTCTGCCCCTCCCCCGTTCATGCTCTGTCTCTCTCTGTCCCAAAAATAAATAAAACGTTGAAAAAAAAA